AAATAGTGCTTCCAAGTAGTGCAAGTGTGTGACGCATTAACCGCTAGGTAAAGTTTCAAAGAGATAGTTCAAGTCTGAAAGATCAGGTGTCAAGAAACTCGAGTCGTAGTCATATTCCCTACAGCTCCAGCACAAAGCCTGCAGTCATCACATCTGCAGCCGCTGGCTCGTTAAACGCATGACTCGTTTTCCCAGAGTTGGAAAAGCCTTGTTCTTCAGTATACCTCCTATAATGAAGAAATGTCAAGTCTCCGTCTTTCCTTTTTAAAAAAGAGCCTTATTACAGCACCGCGATGGGACTCCCCAAGGGAATCCTGCTGGCAGAGGAGAAACCAGCAGGAAAGAAGAAATAGAGAAGAGAAATGAGGAAGTTAAGTTGTGAATGCGTTATAGTGAGATGTCTGAAAAGAGAACTGTCAGCTGCATCGCTGTGCAGAGGCTGCCTAAGAAAAATTGATTAAATGGTGTAAAATCTGAAAGCTCTTCTGTATAGCGAACTGTTACTTGAGTAGTTATAAATTGGACTGCACTGTTTTTCCCGAATGAATATTGTAGCTTTATGTGTGCCTCAACCAAGGTTCCTGTGCTTCTGAGAAGAAAAGAGACGAGGCTCGTCACAAAAAGTTAATTGTATTTGTGGCTCTTTTGATTATAATGGAAGATTAGGGTATTCAGATTATTATAGCAGATGACAAGTAAATGTTTAATACCCTTGCTGGAAAAACAGGTCAAGCTGGTTTTCTGGAACAGAGTAGCTGGGTTGTTTTTGTACCAACGAGGTCTAACAGACCCAACCAGCTTGACCCAGGTGGTCTACCAGCTCAAACTTAGATCAACTAGCTGGTCGTCCCGCTTATCAAACATGTTTACCATCTTAGACCAGTTATTGTTAACTAAAACTTTCATTATATTGACATAAAGCTGAAATAAAATATGTTAGTAATATGCATGCTAATAAGCAACTAGTTAATAGTGAGAATTTGTCCCTAAACTAAAGTGTTACCAAATAAAATATGAGAAATATAGCAAAAAAAAAATATATATATATATATATTTTTTTTTTAAACAAAATGTAGAAATGTTGCCTTGGCAGTTAACTGCAATAAAAAAAGTTTATGTTGAAGAGCTACAATGTCTGAAACTAAAACTAAAAACAAATTAATGCTCAATTTTAAAAAAATTATAAAATTATGAAAGCTTGTAACCAAATTACGAAAACTTAAATTTAATTGAAAAAATAAAAGAATTCAAAATAATAAATTATATTATAATAGTGTGTAAATAATAACACAATAATGCTGTCTTAAGGCTTGTTCACACCGGGACGAATATCGCGCGCGATTATCACCGACGTTTAAAGGGGTCATATGATGCGATTTCAATTTTTCCTTGCATAAACACATTTCATTACACCAAATACACAAAATAATGTTATTTTTAGCAGCATCATATGACCCCTTTAACGACTCCTGACTAAACAAAGGGCGCCAATGTGAGTGTGCACATCGACGCGCAAAACGCGAGGCGTAAAAGCGTCATTTTTTTAAAAACCACCTGGGGCTCGTTTTTTTGGTTTGATGTGCCACGTTAAAAACTGCCCGACCAATAAGATTGGCGCTTTTGTTCACGTGCCTGGAGCTGCTGAAGTTACGGTAAAACACGACTTGGTGGCGCTCAAGCACAAAACGGTCTTGCCGAGCACACATTGATACCTAACGACAAATAGGAAGTAAGTAGACCAAGAAGATGCATCGAGGCAAGATGAATGTAGAGCTGCTGGTCTCATTGGTGTCTGAACACAAAGGGCTTTATGACAAACCCGACAGCGACTACAAAAATCTCGATAAGAGAGAGTTGTTATGGAGAGGAATTGCAGATCAAATAGGATTCGATGTGTACCGGGGTATTTCTGTTTTTCATTAAGCGCCATCTAATGTCAGGGAGTGAATTTGCACGTTCACTCGGCTCATTGCCTGCGAAAATCGCTTGGGTATGAACACAAAAGTCGCGTCGAAAAACGTCGGCGATAAGCGCCGCGCGATAATCGTCCCGGTGTGTACGAGGCTTTAGACCAGACTGAAACCATGATAGAGCTTAAATAATTTTGTACACAGAGCATTTCTTTTAATCCAGTGTGAGTTCTTGTTGTAACAAAATGAGAAAATTTTTCATAAATTGGCAGTTTATAAGCAACTTTAATATATAAAAACACACAGTATGTACAGCATTAGGCACTCCCAGCTGAACAAGAAAGTGAGTAAATTAGTTGAAGTAATGTTTCATTTCACCGCATTCTGCTTTTAATCGCTTCATATCCTTTTTTTATGAATTTGCTTCCCTCAAAGAGCTCTCGTATTAGTAGTCATGTATAAAATTGCTTACACATGTATTCCCAGATAGGCCGAGAAGCTTGTTGAAGCCAAACGTCCCACGGGGTTTTGTATTAGATTAGTCGCCGTCTCTCGGGCACAAAGGATTTATGAAAATTCTCTCTCTTTTCCTTTGTTTCTGTCTCTCTTTCATTCTCTCTTTTGTTCCTTAAAGTTCTGCAGAAGGATGACTAAAGACAGTGTTTCCATGATACTGCTCTCCTTGATTTTTCCATTGTGATGCAACTGTACTGATCCATGTTGTTTTTCTTTTTGGTAATTGTGTAGCAGTTGTAAAAGAATCCAATATAATCCTCACTGCGTCTGTAAGCGAAAGTCACAAAAAGAAAGAAAAGACTCTTCCAGAGAGATTTGATTTCATTTGGCTGTGTTGCATACTCTCTCTTGCTCTGTGCCAAAACCTATAGTGAACTAGTAAGGCATCAGTGCCACGCTCCAAAAAGTAGGCAGCATAATTATAAGGGAGCTTGGCATGTAGCGTACACAGAGAAGTCAATCCCAGCATGCAATGCGCTTATGAGGTGAGAGAATTGTTGATTATGAAAATAATTATTTTATCTGTTGCTGAAAATAGTTGACAAAAATAGTGCATTCTAAAATAATGTGTTTTTGTGTGTCACTGGCTCAGCAACAAGTTAACTCTACTGGCATTAGTTCTTAGGTTTGAATCTCTAGTGTCGAGTGCTTTTTGTGTGACATGCATGTGAAGAGAGTACAATTAGGTCACTTATGACAAGGAAACTATATTGGGGGTCGTTTGGAATCTGGGAATGCTAATGTATTCAGGTGTTACTGATTCTGAACAACAGGCTTAAAGCCAAAATGAAATTCAGGCTTCAAACAGTGTTTCATAAAAGTGAAAGGATCAAAACAAAGCAAAGTGCTGGAAAGTCACTTTAAACTGTACAAAGCTTTAGATGGTATCAGAATGCAGAATGTATCACAATGACAGTGGATAGTCAAAGAATATGCCCTATTAATTTTATCCTCACAAGTCTCTTTCTCTCCCCTCCCTCTCGATCCCCCTCTCTCTCTCTCTCTCTCTGGTGTTTGTGGGGATCAGAAAGGATTTGGGTGGAGTGTTTCAGTGGCAGGTGGACAAAATCTTTTCACAACAAAAAGCTTTTCTTAAACCGAAAACTCAAGATTCAACTGTTAACATTCATATTGCTGGAATGTTTTTCATGAAACGCATATTTGCAAGCCTATTGTAGTATTATTTGATGTCCCAGATTTCGCCTTTCACCCCCTGTGGGTTTTATAATGCTTATCTTAATAACATAGCCATGCTTTCTCAGTGGGGAATAGCAAAACATGGGGTGATGGCTTCTTTATGTAGAATGAATGTTTAAAAAAAACTGTATTGGTGTATTCAAGGGATTGTTCAACTGAAAATGAAAATTCCAAACCTGTATGCATTTCTTTCTTAAAGAACGCTGGGGTCCAAATAACATTGGACAACATTGACTTTAATTGTATGGACAAAAATCCACTAAGGCATTTAAAAAATATATCTACTCTTGTGTTTCACAGAAAAAAAGTCAGGTTTGGAACGATGTTAGTAAATGTTGACAGAAGTGTAACAAATAATTTTTATGTTGTTCTGATGCTTCTAAGAAATTACAGTGACCTTATGTAATTTCACTACAAGTGGTACCGCAATTTGCTTCAGATCTAATTGGTTTTGTAATGAAGCTGTAATCCATAAGCTTCCAGAAGCTTTGTGACCTCATTGTTGGTGTGCTGTGAAGGGTGTTTGGAGGCAGTGGTTCATATAGCTGCGCTGGTGTCGGCTGGGGTCATAACGCAATAGATGAGTGGTGATGCTGGATCTCTGCATTTGCGTAGCTCTGCAGGCATTGCTGGCCCATCATAGGATTATTGTTCAATCAGGATTTGACGTTTCCTGACAGTGCTACACGATTCTGCCCTGCTGCATTAGATCTGTATTAGTTTCACTGGCCCGCCCCACTGGCCCATCTCTTGGAGTCCAGCAAAGACCGCCTGCTTAATGCCAGCTGGCCAGGCTTTTGAAAGAAGCACAGACCACCTCAACCATTGGCATCAGGTAAGCGTGTCCATGACAGCATGTGTTCCTGTCCAAAGGGATTTCATTATATTCATTATCATCAGGGACACATTTTGTGTGCATTTGCATGTGACGTCACAAGGGTGAAGAGTGGATTTAAGCTGGCTTTATTTGGTCTGTAATCCCTCATAGCAATCTGAACAAGTAAAATGTTCGGAGTTGGAGCGGATCAGCTTCGCTGGATTATCACAAGCCCCTGCCTCCCCCACACCAACCCTCCCCTTGTAAAAAATGTCCTTCCTGTCTCTCTGTTTTCTCTCTTATTCTTTCCCTCTGTCTGTTCACGCTTGTCGCTTTGCATTGCCAGAATGGAGTAGTCAGGCAGGCTTTGACTACCAACGTTATTTGTGAGAGTGCTTGGTGTCCTCTTTCCTGCTTCCATCACCACCAGCAGTATTCCCCAGATTAATTATTCACCGATCGCCAAGCAAGAGGAGCCATTTGAGCCAGTCCTTGCCACTGTGATAGAGACGGGAGACAGAAATTACAACTGGACCTCAGGTGAAAAGCAATATTTCTGTTTTAATTTTTTTCTTTCACCTTCCTTCCTCACACCACTTGACAACATCCTGCAACTAGAAATTTAAAGGAAAACCTTTCTCATTTTTCTTCCATGTGAGTAAGGTATATCTCTTCCTTATGTTGATCTCCAGTAAGCAGTTGCCAATCGGCCGCTCCCAGAGCTGGGACACGCTGGGTGGGAATGAGGGTCATTGGGAGCGCAGTGACAGTGTTTACGAGCAGCAGGCCCGGATGGCTGGTCGACGCAACTCGCTGAGCTACGGAGCGGATGTGGGAGGGGGATGGTATGAGCCATCGCCTGGACTGCGTCCCCCTGACCTGGATTTGAAACGGGAGCAAGACTCCTACCAGGAATCTCTTTACAATCAGGGATATTTGGATCGTCCGGACCCCCGTAACATAAGAAAGAGCTCCGTTCCTGAGTTGAACAGCCATTACGACCGGCCACCCATGGCTCACCGTGGTTCCCTGCCACCCCTCGACTACTATCAGCAAGACTTAGGCATGCCACCACGGCCATCCGAGGGTTTTTATCGTGGAGAGCAACCTCATTCTGTTAATAGGTCATCTTCACATTATGGAATGATGGCTGGTCCTCGGCAATTCTGGGAACAGAGCTCAGGAGGTCGGCCTGGTTCTGCTGCCCCAACACCTGGCATACCTCCTCCCCCACCTCCAACTGCTCATGACATAGGTCGTATTTACAGAGAACCATCCCTGCCTGGACCCCCACATGCTACTCCTGGCACCAAAATGATGCAGGATGGGCAGTGCATTCCAAGTCGTGCACCATCTCCAGCTCATTATATAATGGAGCCAAATTCTCCCCGTTATGGTGCTGAGCCACCTGCCTCTCTAAACAGCCATTCAGTCTACAGTGATGTTAACGGAAGGCCGATTGATCCTCATCAGCCAACCGCCACCTGCCTGGTAGTTGAACCAGTTGCTCAAGGAATGGATGGAACTGCCCGAGGTATGGTCATGCATCCGGAAAACCCCTCACCATACACCATACAACAGCAAGCCCAACAGCAGGCTCAACAACAAGCACAGCAACAAATGCAACAACAAATACAGCAACAGCAAATGCAGCAGGTTCAGCCAGTGCAACAATTGCAGCAAGTTCAGCCAGTGCAACAAATGCAGCAAGTTCAGCAAATGCAGCCCATTCAGCCAGTGCAGCAAGTTCAGCAGGTACCACAGTTTCAGCCAGTGCAGCAAGTTCCACATGTGCAACCCGTGGCACCCCCAAATCCTGTCTATACTCCAGCACCCCCTATAGCTGCTACCCCAGTAAACACTCCAAGTGTGGCCACTATTCGTGCTCCGTTACCTCAAATTCCTGCTCAGCCTTTTACTGCTCCTCCTCCTCCCACTGTTCCTCAGATCCCAGTGGCTCCTGTAGACCCTAAAAAAAATGCGGACCCTGAGTTTCTGGCATTGCTGCAAAAAGAAGGCCTCTCAGAAAGCACCATCACCTCTCTACTGCAGCAGGGCTTTGACTCCACTGCAATGCTGGCTGTTATGGAGGAAAATGATGTGCGTTCAGTGGCTCCAAACTTGGGACAAGCTCGGGTTCTGTCGCGTGTTGTGCTTGGTTGCAAGCGACCACCTGAAATCCTTCCTGCTAACCCCCTGCATACCAATGCTCCGGTCCGTGGCAGATCCAACAGCTTTAGCCATCGCAGTGACAGTTACGTGCATCAGCCGCCACCCTTGGCTCCGGGCATGGAGTCCCAGTATATGCAGCCACCCTCTACCCCCATGCAGACTATATCTCCAAGGATGGGTGAAGGTTATAGTCACAGACCCAGCAGTGCTCCCTCCCAGCATCTTCTTGAGACCAGTGGGTATCCTGGAGCCAGGTCTGCAGGAGCATACAGTGGTGCTGTGGTTCCAGTCCAGCCTCGTGCTTTATCAGGCTACAATCCTCATGCTGGCTTGCCCATGCCACCTATGACTGCAATGTCCCAACAGGTAGCTATTCCATCACATCTACCAGGAATGCCACCACAAATGGCAGCTTTGCCAGCCCCAATCCATGCAATGCCACAGCCATTGCCAGCAGTTCCCCAACCAATGACTGTGCCTGCTTTGGCACCGCAGCAGGCTCCGAAGGCATACACCACCAACTATACTGTACCAATGGAGTTGATGAAGAGGGATCGGGGCTTGGCTACAATGTCACCCATGCCTAGTCCCCATGTAAGCCCACAAGTAATGCGCAAGGCTGGAGTGTCCTCAGACAGAGCCCTAGTACCCGTTGGTGGTGCCTTCCCAGGCCAAAATGTGAGTCTGTCTAATCAGAAGCTCAGCCGGCGTACTGGACCTCCGGTCATTGTCTCCACTATGGCATCGCCAGACACAAGTAAATGAAAGCCCTCTTCCATTGCCGCCTTCATGTTCTCCTTTTTTCCTCTCCTCCACCCCCTCCAGTGCTTCAGCTCCTAACTGTCTGTGTCAGAGTGAGCATGTGTGAATCATACGGTTGTAGGTTCATTAATTCAAGTTAAATTTCTCCCCTTGAACTTCACTTTTAAGAAATGCTACACAAAGAAACCTTCTTTGAAGAATAAACAATTGTTTGTTTTGTTGTTGAAATAGTAATGTATTGAGTTGCTAATGATGTTTCTAGATGTTTTCGTAGCAAGGCTCAGCTTATTTTATTAAATATTATCAAAGCTTATGGAACTAGTTTGTTTTGTGATAGATCAAGTTCAGCTTTCTTTTGTACATGAAGGCTTAGCAAAGATGAATTCATTTAGTGTGTCATAATTCATCATCTTTTTATACCTTGTCATTGCATAATTACATACCACTAAATATTGAATTTCTGTAGTCTAGCACAAGCTCCGTTAAAAAGTATGGTAAATTGTGCTAAAATGTGCAAGCATGTTTTCATTATGTTGCCTTGTGGTTCAGTGGCCTGTTATATTATTAGTCAGTCACATTTTTGCAGTATTAGTCATCATCAGCTTCAGGGGTGTCAGTGACTTAGATTGTGTTTTATTTTGGCTTGGTATTCTGTATTACATTGCTTTTATGTATGTTCTGTAGTAGGTGTATCTAAATGGATTTGGACTGACATGTTTTATTTTTATTTTCATGGTTTGTCTTTGCTAATTTAAACCTCTGTCACTATCTGCCCGTCGCAGCTGATCTGTTTGACTAAGATACCGTGAGTGAAGTGTAGCTTGTCAGTTAGCGGTAGAGCCCTTTGATACATGTTTGAAGTGAATTGTCACCTTTGAGCCATACACAAGCAAGATCAGAATGATGGAATGGACCAGCACAGGGAGAGAACGACAGTTTAGTTTTTTGCCAAGCACAAACTTCAGTAGGAAATTTCCATTGTGAGAATCAACTGAGCATGTAGCCTAGTTTTTCAATTTATAGTTAACAGTGACATTACTTACGTGACATTTAAGAAAAACATTTTTCATTGTTATAATGCAAAAAATATCCTTTTCATTATTATAATGCGAAAACATTTTTATTAGCATGAAATGTCACAATGCAAACATTGCTTTATTTTCTTTTATGCAAAATATAAATATTTTTCTTTTGATTTTGGTGTGAAATGTGACCGTTTTTGTGGGATTCATTCAAATGTTTTTGCAGGACTTATGTTGATGCATGTCTTGCAGATCGTGCTAAAGACTGTAAAGGATCATATTTCTCTGTTCTTCAATCCCACCTGGTGCAGCTGGTGTAAGAGACAGTTTCCAGCCCACATTGGCTGTTTCAGAACGATGACCAATGACTGCACCGAGGGGGAGGGGAGGCAGCACAGGGAGTTTTATTCTGAGCCGAAATGGAGATGCAGTGTCAGACCCCGGCAGGAAATTAAACAACACATCACCGTAGTCAGGCTAATCACATTGTGGTGATAGTAATCAGAGTGTATGGATATGATTGGAGAGCCTCTGGGGTGGGAGAGAAATGAGCGGTGATAAACATTATTAAAGGCTGACTGGTTCAGTGCCTGGTGAGCAAGCGGCTTCAGTAGGGTTGGGCAGTATGACCAAAATCACAGTATGAGTTATTATATTTCATGGTAACAGCATGTATCCCAAAATAGTTATTAGTGCTTGAAATCCAAGGAAGAATGGTTTATATGTTAGATACGTGTAGAAAATACTATTTTTTGGATAATCTAGTGGATTAACTACTTAACTACTAAAGATAAGGTTATTTATAACAAATAAGTCTGACATCAGTGCAAAAACAGTTGTACATTATAAAATACTTAAGTTAAAAATAAATTATTCAAAACATTTCCACCATGTAATTGATATATATTGACACATTTCTGCTGTTATTCTCTCGACTATGCAGTGCATTTAGATATTTGAAGGATTGAAAAATTTAGCTGTTTGATGTGTTGTATTGCAGTGTAAATGTGGACTAGTCAAAGGTTTAAGTACTGGTTGACCTACCCATCCCTCGAAAAGAGTACAGATAACATCGTAATCTTTTACGACTGACTCTAATCCACGGCTTCCTCATGCATCCTCTCGTTTCGTTTCTCTTTCAAAGGCTTCCATTTCCCTTTGTATCTTTTTCCTCCCTTTGCTTCTGTTACACCTTCCCTGCCGTCTCACTTGAGTTAATGGGTTTAGCTGGCTTTCGTTCCATATAATGAAACCATTTCTCCAGTGCCCCAGTCATCTCTGACTCCAGATGTTTCAGGTTGGATAGAGTCAGAGTACATTGCTCATGTCCTAAACATCTGTGAAAACCCCAGCGGGCAAGAATATGAGCGCTTCTCTTATGAACAACAAAGTCATTTGCATGTGGGTGATGGTTGTTTGTTTAGCCAGTAATTTCGTCTGCTAATGCACAGGCTGAAGAGGTATTCCTTAATTGTGTGTTGCTAGGTGACTTGTTTTTGGTAGCGACGACTGCTCTGATTTTTTTTTTTTTTATTATAATTGTTATTATTGTGCCATCTCTTTTAGAAAGCATGCACATACACCATCATTCTTTCTTTACGGTCTAATACATTTCAATGAACTGATCTGAAAAGAGCCTGCTTCCTTGTTCCTTGACCATGTATGGTCATTCTAAATGCCCCCAAGACTAATTGTGTCTATATATGGACATGCAGGGACAACCCTGGCAGAAGACCTTCCTTTCTAGTAAGAAGGGATTACGTAGCCATGGCGATGGGTGTCCGGGTCAAGCCATATGAGAGTTTTCCAGGTCAGGTGTGTCCATGTGTTTGTGTATAGTTGTTTGTGTTTTATTGTATCTGAGGTATTATTTGATATTGATTTTGTTGCTTTGGAAGTTCTTTTAGAAAGAGAGCTCTTAGCACCGAGCGTTTAGAGTGATCATCCTGTAGTCTGGGATAAGCTGCTCCTGGTCATGGATCAGAAGCATTACGCTGAAAGGAGGCTTCATGGTACGCTTTACTCTAGTGCAGGCTGTTTAGTTAAGCTACTTCATTCTAGGCCACAGTGTTTCTGTATGGTCGCAGGTGACTGTTAGTGCTAAAAAGCTACAATTGAACTAGATTTGCATTTTCTGAAGGGAATACTAGGTTCTGTGTAATCAAATGCAGCCACTTTGCCCCACTGGCTTGACGATCAGCATGTGATTGTTTTAGTTTTAATGAAAGAGAATCAGTATACTTTCATTTTTAGTGTAAAGGTGGCTATATGGTTAAATATATGCAAGGACAAGGCCAATCACAATTCAGTATGCAGATACTGTGGTGATATCATCAGTGTTGTTTACTTTTTGAACCTAGCTAACTATAGCTTGATAAATAGATGGCACATTTAAGGCTAAATTTCAAAATACCATTTGAATTGACTAATTGTTACTTTTCTGAACACATATCATTGTAATACTATGATATTATTAGGAGTAGCATGTTGCATACCTTGGTAAATTAATGTAGAAATGATTCAGTACCATGGTATTGATCAAATAATTTGATGTATGATGTATTGATTTGTATATGTAAAATATATGAATTTATGTTTATTCCAGTAGCTAATACGGTGCAGATATATACATATCTAATAATTTAATAATTGCAAATGAGGTGCTCAGAAAATGATGACATTAAAAGAATACTTATTCTACTCAAAATTCAATTAGTTCAATTCAATAATCTCATAGTGACCAAATACTGGTTTATGAATCGGCCTAACACTCATGGTATCTGATACCATTCCTGTACCATACTATTTTTTGTAAGGATTGATACTTTTTGATTTAGAACTCTATTTATAGTTACTGAAGAAATATTACAATTTACATGTATTTTTGAATGTTTGCACTAAAAAAAAAAAATGGGCTCCCTTGAAACTATTTTCAATCAAATTGCTAGTAAATTCCACAAATTGGACATTGGACATTTTGAAATAGAAAGACTGAAATAGTATTTTCTTGTATTTCAGTAATGTTTGTTTTATTTATAACTTGTTGATGTCGAGTAAAATTGTATTCATATTACAGGTTTATTTAGTCTTGACATGACTGTCCAAGAAAATAAAGGTGGCTGGTACAGCATAAAAATGACTTGTTCGCAGTTGGTGTGCAATAATCTGAAGAAATTTAATCAGTCTCTTAGGAAATTTGGAGGAAAATCAACATGGAGTAGGAAAAAGAGAGGAAACAATGAATGAGAATGAAGGGCAAAAGACGCTCAAACCCAAAAGTCATTTCAGTGCCGATTTGTCCAGCTCAGCATATTCATTTACTGTGGGTTTCAGAAATTAAAGGAGAAGACAGAGAGAGAGAATGAAAGAAAAGAGATTAGAGAAGTAAAATCCCACTAGCCATCTGTGCAGGATGGGCCCAGTGGGAAGGGGGGGGGGTCTGGGTTAGCGCTCTCCATCAGAACATAATCCTGCAGAAATGAATGAATGCGTGTACTGTAATCCCTGTCCGCAGCAGGACGACTCATCTGACCTGTCTCTGACATATAGAACTGTCCCACATCATGGCATATTAGCATTAAAGAATCAGAAATGGGTGTGATGTCGGTTTGTTTGAACGTATGAATAATCAATTTGCCCTGGTGTGCAGCATGCAGACGAGAGCTGTATGTAAACAACTCGCAGCGTCTGATATTTCCTACTTCATAAAATGTTAAACAACTTGTAAATCACTTATGCTGTAGCATTATTTATTTGTAAATGGCTTTGGATAACAGCATCTGCTAAATTAATACATGCATTGCATGTTGCATGTATATGCAGTTCACTGCATTAGTCTGTGTACACCTTAAATCTGCCTTTTTTGTGTGCATACTAAATGTTTGCACAGAGTCACCGAGAACAGATGCTGAATGAATAAATGGGTGTCAAACTAGGGTTAAACTATAAGGATGGGCTGATAGAGAGTGAGTTT